CAGAATCAAGGCTGAGAAAATCCCGAAAAGACGACATAAAGAGACCAAGGACGGAAATAGCAGAATCACCAATCGATTCAGAGTCTCAGTAAAACAAAGAATAGTACTGGAAACCAGATGGAAAGAGGTTAAAACAGCAACAAACCAAACTCAGTCAACAAACGTGTATTACTCTGAGCAAGCAAAATTTTTTGGCCGACTAGGAGACTCACGTGATCCAAGTTTTATACCTTTGAAAATTGCTAAAATTAATGATATTCATTGGCCAAATACATTGTCATATATTCACCTCTCCATGATGTGGAATCATTATTATTATTAATAGGATGTTACATTACATTATCCTCCAGTACATTACATTGTTAGTGTACACAATATTACTATTAATACAACTGATACTAATGTAACTATTAATGGACTATATCCCAATAATGAATATACTGTATACATAAAACCAGTTAATGCTATTGGAGAGGGACCACTGATTAACATTACAGGTTTGTTTATTATAAACTGATGAGTATATTTAGTGTATTGTGTCTAACCTTTAGTCAACATAACTGAGCAACTGTGCCAACAGTCCATTTTAATAATAACCACTTTAACTGGTCAGTATAACATAATAATTATTATAAAAACGTATATACAAATGTCTACTAAATTAGTTCTAATACTTTCCATTCCATATTTGTTATAGTTTCAGTTACTAAAAGTTTATCTGATGCTATCACCAGTAGCAGTAATGACAGATCCACTTCAATGTCAATATCTCTGACAATCATTAATAATACATTAGTATCAGAAACTTCAAGCAGCATAGAACCATCAACAATATCAAGTTTGTGCTAAATACATTTTATATTATAATACTGAAATCTGTTCTGTGCAATGCTTTCTTACTAACTGACATTTTATTGCAATTTGTAAGCACCTGAAAATCATCCAAAATTTTTAATCAATAAGTTGCTATTACCTAGGATTTGTTGATAAATGGCTCCAAAAATTACCTATATTTTTTTCTGATGCTTGATGTCCTTATGCTGTGTAGAAACTGGGCTATAGCCCAAGGTTTTTTCAAAAAATGGCTTTTTTCAAAAGTTTGAGCTGATTCAGATATCAATTTTTCACGTTACGGCCAGTTAAAAAAATAGGCCAAAATCTGAAAAATACCCAAGGCTATATATAGCACATGGTTTTTTCAGAAATTTGGCTCTGAAATCACCCCCAAATTTTTATTACATTTTCTGATACATATTGATGTCCTAATGCTATGTAGAAAGTTTGAGCTGATTCCGATGTCAATTTTTCAAGTTATGGCCATTTTAAGAAATAGCCCAAAATCTGAAAAATACCTAAGGCTATAGCCCATGATTTTTTCAGAAAAATGGCTCTGAAATCACCCCAAATTTTTATTACATTTTCTGATACATATTGATATCCTTATGCTGTGTTCTGGAGAGTTTGAGCTGATTCCGACTTAAATTTTTCAAGTTACAACCATTTTAAGAAAGAACCAATTTCTAAAAAATACCCATACTATATATAGCCCATATCCTTTCAATCCCAAAATGGTTTGACATTATCTGACTATATAGTAAACTGCTAAATCATGTTTACAAATTAGTGACAAAGTTAAGCATGTGGTAGTCAATGTTAATTAAGTAGTCAATTTACACTTTCAAAATAATTTGATATTACTAAATTATATTTTTGTTAGGCTCTACTTCCATCACATCACAATCCACATGTACAGGATCCATCATCAGTTCTGGTTACTTAATACATTAATGTATGTACATATCTAATGTATCTATTATACACACACATTCAGTTGCTATTACAGTACCTATCACTGGTCTATTAACTGGACTCATTACATCAATAATTACTAGTATCATTGTATACTGTATAATGAAGAATAAAGGGAATACACTAAGAGAAAGATCACCAGTAGACATTGGTCCAATATATGATTTACCAACTATCAACAATGAACAACAAGAACAAGTCATTGATACTACACCTAACACTGCTTATGGACAAATTTAATAATACATTTATAACTTTATCTTGGCAGACATACATGTATAGAAAATAACAGTATATAGTAGCATGGCGTATCTTGGCACAGCAACTTTAAAATTTACTATTTTACTAGTGGCAATTAAAATAGAACAATAAACAATGTACAATGTATATACCCTTGCCTATATGCCTACGCTTGGCAAGGTAATAATCACAAGTGAAACAACAGTCATCACAGCTACCCCAATTAATACACCTATCTAAAGATGTACTGGCTGGTGCACTTGACTCCATATAGCTAAAACTTGACTTATAACTGAATACTATTAATGAGAGTTTGAGGTCTAAGACTGTGATGAGAGGTTGAGCATTCAAGGAGAGAAAGAGAGAGATCAGCTAGGAACTGTGAGAATCGATAAACTGTATCTTATATACAAACATAATGAATAAGTTGCATAGGTGTCTGCAGGTGTTAGCTAATGTTGATATGTACATTCATTGATTGATGTTGTATGAGGACTTGTAAATGTATGCTGGAGCAGTACATGATGCCGTATAGTCCAGAAATTAATAATTAAATAATTAAATCAAAGACGCTACACTACTCTACTGCCCTGGGTGCAGTATTAGGAATTGTCTTGTGAATTACTCTGATTGTTTAAACGTGTATGCTGCAATAAGACTAAGTATAGTAGAGTTTATTAACACTAAACAATGATTGATACTGTGTGATTGACTTAAATTCTTTTTTGATTGTCACATATAAAATATCACAACCAATTAACTCATTCTTTTTACACTCTCATTCACAATGTTCACAAAACTCAATTAGACACTCAAATAAGTAGCTCACTCTTGTCCAAAAATAAAATCTAGCAAACCTGGGTAGTATCTAATATAATGTCTTAAAAAACACAGCAGAAACATGTTTATAGTTTTTACCTCTATTTATGTGAGACAAAATAAATTATTATGATAAAAATGATCACAAGTGAAGCAACAATCATCACTACTGCCCCAATTAATACACCAAGTGTCCATGGAAGAACACAATTGCAACTATCTGAAGATGTACTGGCTGGTGTACTTGATTCTATAACTAATACTAATAGCAATAAAATTGTA